ATTTTTTAAATCTCAGTTTCTTTAAAGAATGTCATTGGTATCTTAGGCTTCAAACCATCTTAACTTATAATAATCTTTAAAAAATATGTTTATACATGCCACTTCATTGCCTCATGAACCAGTAGGTGATCTCACATAAATTTGGGAATTAATGCTACATATACTAAAGCAATAGAATGACTTTTTTTTTTTTTTAAAAAGAGGTATTTATTTATGCTTACAGAACTGGGGTACAGGCCAGAGGTGCAGGGGTGGTGAGAGGATTCACCAGAGACAGGGTGGGGAGCAGAACATATGGACTGATGGACTGATGGAGTACACTGATGAGGGAGCAGCGGGGAGAAGAGGTGTGCCGCGCCATGTGGGTCATCTCTTAGGCAGGGCTTAAACTCGTGCTGCAGTGGCTTTAGCTTCTTAGTACTGTGTTTTAGGGCCCTAGAATGACTTCTTAATTCTGGAGTAATGTCCACAGGGGTTTCTTGGAATCTCATTTAAATAACATAATGTAAAGACATTGTGTAACATTATTTAATGTGATAAAATTCTGAGATGATTATCTTTGCAAAAAATTTTTTTAAAGATTTATTTATCTATTCATACAGAACTGGGGTACAGGCCAGAGATGCGGAGGGTGAGAGGATTCACCAGAGAGAGAGTAGGGAGCAAAACAGGCAGATCGACCAAGTACACTGCTGAGGAGAGCAGCGGGCGGGTCAGGAGAGGTCTGCCACACCATGTGGTCACCTCCGGGGCAGGAGGGGATCGAACTCATGGGAAAGTGGTTTTAGCTTCTTTGTGCAGTGCTTTAACTCGCTGCGCCACCAGGGAGGGCCTATCTTTGCAAATTTTAAGGAGACTTATGCTCTTTAAGTGTGTGCTTCCTTTTATCAAATGCCAACAGTAATAATCATGAAGAACACTATTTGATAAACCTGAGTGTAAAGATTCTGAATTTGGTTTATTCATTTTCAAATACTGTCTTAGCTTTTCAATGTCTCAGAATATATATTTGCATATAAAGAAGATTATATTTATACCAGCCTTAAAATTTGTATGAAGTTTAAATAAGAATAAAGCAAATCACTTAAAATATTATTGAAGCTTAAATGGGAATGTGAAGTGTTCAAAAATAGTATTTAAAAATTAACCGTATTTTAAAATATGTATCAAAGTATATTCAATCAATGTCTGTCTGCCAAATCTCCCTCATTCTCTCTTAGTCCCTAACTAGAATGTAATTGGAAACTTTCAATGCTATTTTTGTTTGTTCAGTCCTCTTCTGAAACCATAATAATTAGAATGGTATTTAGACACTGAGTAAATATTTGATGAAGGACTGAATGAAGTTGTTCTGCTTTATTTATTCATTCATTGTTATCACACTTTTATTTATATTGAGGTAACATTGGTTTACAACCTTATATTTGATGTAGAATATTGGATCACACCATTTAGATATTTGTCTCCACACCACACCCATCACCAGTGCACTCAGAGTCCTACACTGTAGTACATTTTCCTTTGCCTCCCCTCCCCCAACCACTATGCTTTCTACAGTGAGATTTCTAGGGTTTGTTCTGACCCATTGTCTTCTTTGTTTCTCCATATTTCATATATATGACAACATCTGGTCATGCTCTTTATCTTTCTGACTTAGTTTGCTTGTCATAATCCATATCAGTTTCATCCATGTCATCACAAATGACAAGAGTTGATTTTTTTTTAATAACGGAGTAGTGTTCTAATGTGTATATTTATTACTTCTTCCTAATCTATCTGTACTTGTCCAATTTGTTTGCTTTCATAATGTAGTTTTTGTGCCTCATACTGTAATGATACGGGCATGTATAGATACCATAGATTTAGTGTTTCTGTATTCATCAGTTAGAGACCTAGTGGTTGAATTGTTGGATCATAGAGTGAATCCAATTTTAATATCTTGAGAAATTTCTATATGATTGTCTATCAGCCTCCATTCCCACTAACAATGTACAGTGGTTGTCTTTTCTCCAAACCGTTGCCAGTACTTGTTTGTGGTCATTTTGATGTGGGCTATATTCAATGGTATGAGGTCTTATCTCACATCTGTTTCTGATTTGCATTTCCATGATGATGAACATTTTTCCATGTACTTTCTTAAATTGACTGTATTAGGATTAGATAATTTACCTTGAATGTTCATCTTTATTATGCTTTTTGAGTTAATGAATGAAATCTTACTGATTTATTTTTCATTTTCGTTTTTTTATGACTGCTTATTTGTAAGTTTCTTTCTAAATTATACATGAATTAAACTTTAAATTTTTGAAATAAATTCTATTTTGATATATAGTAAATTTAAACAACCTATTTAAGTTATACGGCATTATAACTTAGGTTTTAGGTATACCTATAATTAATCAGCACCTTTACATACTACTTTCATATCACCATAAAATATCTTTTTTAATTAAACGAGTTAAGTAATTTTATTTGGGTTGTGACATCATCCAAAATATTTCTATTTATGTGCATGTCCTAGAGTGAGCTGAAACACTTCATTTTGTCTTGAACAATATTGGAAATGTGGTGATGCACTAACTTGTATGAATTTGTTTTCATAAAACAAAAACATTAGTGCTTTCCTTTAGTCATATTGCTTAAAAATAATTCTAGTAACTCTTAAAAATCCCTTTAATTGAGTTTACTAAACACAAATAAAGTTCAGACTCCCTAATTTGTGATAGAAAGTATTTTATATACCTTCCCTTGCACTTGCTTACCTGTCTGGTTTTCTATTCCCTTCACTGTCTACTCCCCTATTTCTCCCCATGTTTTAGCTGGGTCATGGACTTTTCCTCTTATGAGGCTAAGTGACTCTACAGAAACTTGTTCTTTCACCCGTGCTATATGCTAACTCTTAAGTGTCTTCAATGACTGTAAGTGAGTGAAGGACTGAGACTTTGATTTGCCAAAATATTAATTGAAGATTTTCTGTTCTTTTGTACCAAAGGAAAAAGAGCCCATGGAATAGCTATACAGACAAAGACACATATAATATTGTACAATGTATTTTTGTTCTTGATCTCAAATTGTATGAGGCCAATACAGACTATTTTCAAAATATAATTTCACATATTTTAAAAAGATTTATTTATTTATGTATATAGAACTGTGGTATAGGCCAGAGATGCAGAACAGTGAGAGGATTCACCATAGTCAAAGTGGGTAGCAGAACAGGCAGATTGACGAAGTCCACTGCTGAGGGGAGCTAGAGGCTAGACAGGAGAGGTCTGCTGTGTCATGGGTATCACCCAGCAGGCACTGAACTGGCCTGGATGCTGAGGCCGGTTTAGTAGGGCTGCACTTTAACCTGCTGTGCCACCAGGGAGGGCTCTAATTTCACATTTTTAGACTAAAAATAAAAGGCAATTATTTTGTTTACCTAATTAGCATTTTGGAGGCTCTGTTAGTAGCGAGTACTTCAGGGAATGGCCATACAAATTGAAGAAGTCAAATTCCCTGTTTAAAAGCTTTTCATGTTACAGGCTATGTTTCTGCAAAATAGAAGACTATAGAGAGAGTTTTGGGACCTCTGGGAAAGTCTGTGGAGAAGTGAATCTTGTGACATGTGGAAAATTTTGGGGAACTAGGGACATTTGAATTTCAGAGTGTTTTTCTTATATGGGAGGAAAAAGGGCTAAAGGGTAACAGACATGCACATGAGCCTGTGATTTTGTTACTCTTGAATGTTCAGATATCTAGATGGAATATGCCTGTTCAAAAACTAGACAAACTATATTTTTAAAGTGCCAATACTTATTAAAGGAACAGACTCAATTTGTTAAAAGAATGCTTGTCAAGGGAAATTTGAAAAGGTGATTAAAAAATTGCTTTCCTGCAGTCAAGTGTTCCATTCAAATATGAGCTTGAATTGCTCCAGTTCAGCAAAATTTTACCAGTGATACAAAACCTAACTGTTTGACCAAATATGGGTAGACACTCTAGAAAATATTGTGAGTTTAATTGCTTAAATATTTTTAAATCTTTCAACACAATCTTGTTTTTACTGAATATTGTCCCATTAACATGTTTCTCTATATATTTGATAGTAATAGATAGTGATTTTATAAAGGGTACTCAATTTTCACTTTATGCTAATGACATTCTGCCCAATTCTATTTTTTTAGGTCTATTTGGGGACAGTATTCTAGTACAGATTATGAATTTTGTAATTGTTTTTTTTTTTGTGCATATATGGTTACTTACCCTTCTATTAATAACACAGTACTACTAATACCATAATAAATTCTAAGTATCATAGTGATAGAGTAATGCAGTTGATGCTTACATAAAGAACTTAAATAGACTCACTAAAAGTTCAAAAATTGATATGATCAATTGCTGAGCCATTTGAAAACACTTTAATCCCAAAGAAATTATTTTGTAGGACATTACATGTTTTTGTAAACTGTCTGGAAAGTTGATATTTCATTTAATAAAGAAAGAAATATTAAAAGATGGGGTTTTATAGAAATTCCTATACAATTTTATTTCCTTTTCATGTTTTTAAGATAATAATTTGCTTAGACTATTATAATTACAGTCTTATGTATGTAGACATTGATACACAGAGGGAGGGGCAAGAAAGGGATAAATTTAAATAGAATGCTATACTGAGGTGACTCTCGATGTTTTTCAACAGTGCCACTATGGTGAAAAATAATTAAATGATCCCAATATTTCAGCTAAAAATATCCATTGCAAGAAACAAGCAGTTCCTTGGAAATCTCAGAAATTACTTTAAAAACTTGTGTATTCTATTAATAAAATAATCATTAATATTCAGCATCTGCCAAATTAACTTTCTCTATTGAAGATTATAGTAATGTAGATTATGGTATAGCAAGATTCATCACAGTTAAACTGAAATTTGTGTTTGCCCTTTCTCTGCTGCTATTCAAACTGCATCAATCTACTCAAATAATTTTTTGCCATAAAATACACTTTTTTTTTTACAGAGATGTTTAACTGTTCTATAAATTGGAGGAAAAAAGCATGGATTTTTAGCAACTGAAGGACAAATTAAGGTAATTAGAATTTCCTTGTTATCATTCATATATGTTAGTAATTTTAAAGTATGTTTAGCATATTTACATTTAATTTAGTTTATCCTTCTATAAGTATTAAATTGGAAATTCAACACACTGTTTGAAACACTAATAAATTGAATTTTGTTTATTTCTGCAAAGTAAATTTGACATTTTATATAAATAAATATGTAAATAATATAACAACATATTTGATGCTTTGAGGAGATATAATTCAATTATATATAAAGCAAGGTATTGAAAATATTTAATTTGAGTAGCTTTCTACCTCCTTGGAAACTCACATAATGGTATTATGTTCTTAAAACTTTATTATTAAAAAAAACTTTATTAATAACTAACATGCTTTTTTAAAAATTGGAACATATATAGTAACAATATTTTAAAGTCTTTATTTTAATTCATTCCCTTTGCTCTCAATTATATATCCATGATGGAGAGCATGGAAATCAAATATATTCATTTTACAGCAGTGACCTGTTTAATGTGAAGCAAATGATTTTGAGAAGTAATGTTTCTGTCACAAATATATTTTTAGAGTGTGACAGAAAGACCTGAAGGAGTTTAATCTTAAACCCATACACATATTTGCCTCTTCTTCAGTAAATAATCTGAAGTCAAAACAAATCTTAATATTGGTGAACAAAATTATCAGAATTTCTTTTTGAAATTACTGAAGTTAATTGCTGTAAAGTGTCTTCATTATGTCAACAATATAAGTTGTCTTAAATATACAGTCTAAAATTAGAAATAACAGCTTTCATGGTAGAATTATGTTCAACTTTAAATTGTTGACATAAAAGTTATGTTTTTTAAACTAATATTTTAAGAAAATTCTATACTTTTTCTTTAAAAAGAGTACTGAGTTACTGAAGACTAAAAATATTATACTCACTTTTGTAAGCACTAAATTTTTCAATTGATATTCCTTCTTGAAGATGTATTTGCCTTAGTTTCGTTATCTTTGATTTCTTCACATTTTTCACAATGCAAGCAATATTATTTTCATTCCTATCTTCCAGAATAGATATTATTGAATCAATTTAATTATCTTGTCTGTGCATTAACATAAAATTTACAATTATTCTTTTGCTGATTTGAATGTGAAATGTTTTTTAGTAGTGAAGACAAGCTGATACAATTATTAAAAAAAAAATAAGCAGTGAAAATTTTGATGTGTGTACTCCAGAGAAATTAAATGCTGGCTAGAAAGATAAAGCCCTATAGAAATTATTGTTTACATTTTAAGAGTCAATAACTAATTGCCAAAGAAACAAAGGTCAGTGTAGATCACTTTTGCTGGATTCTCTTGAAACCTTAGTAGAAGCTCTGAAACTCACTGAAGGATTATTGAGACAGGGAAGGTTATGTCACAGATACCAGGACAATAAAGTAACTTGCAAAGGGCACATAAAGGAACAAATAGTAGCCATTGAAGGATTGCTCTTTCCAGAGTAGGGAAGGGTTGCTACTTGGGCAGATAATGTTAGGAGATGAACTTGGTAAAACAGGTTGGCATAATCCATAGAATACTTTGCCATATTATAGTGTAATTTTTCCAGCCTAGACTTCTCTAGTGTGTGCTTAAGAGGACTGATACAGTTGTTGGACTAACATTTTAGAATATCTACTGGTAATTTATTCCCATTAAGAAATTAAATATATATATAACCTTGTATTTAATGTAATATAGGTTTCCAAATAAGAAATTTCTTGAAGAGTCATAGGGATTTTTACAAAATTTAGTGTTTGGAAGTGCTTATTTCATTTTTTAAATTGACATATAAATCATAAAACCTACTTCATCCTTTTGAATTGTAGATTTCAGTGATTTTTAGTATGTCCTCTAAGTCATATAACTATCACCACCATCTAATCCAGAAAATGTTTATCATTTATTGTAAAGGAACCTTGTACCCATGAACATTTATTCCCGTTCTCCTCTCTCCTCATCCTCTGACAACCACAATTTACTTTCTAACTCGATGTATTTTCACTTTAACCCTTGTGTGAATCAGTACTTAATTTCCTTTTATGTCTGAGAAATTTTCTTATATGGATTAACATATTGATCCCTTCATTAGATGATGGATACTTGAACTTTTACGTTTTTGGGGCTATTATGAATAGTGGGGCAATGAAGAATCATTTCAAATTTTTGTGTAGATATGTGTGTTAACTTATCTATGACATATATACCTATGCAGAATTGCTGGGTCATATGGTAACTGTATGAGTTACCACTGGAGGAACTTCCAAACAGTTTTCTAAAGTCATTGAATTATTTTCCATTCCAGTGTATTATTCTAATTTTCGCATGTTCTTACCCCAAATAGTTCATTTTTCTAGACATCATAATGGATTTAAATGATATTTCATTGAATTTTGATAATAGTGTTTGTTTTTATGAGGATTTTAGTTTACCAATAATATGTACATTATTGTAGTTACCAATTTTACACTAGTACTCATATTTATACAATTGATTCTGTGAAGTAATGTAAATCAATTATATAATGAATATTATTTGATTAATCCAGGTTATGCCAGGTCAGTAATTTAAAAATTGTCAGAACTGATAATTTTTTAAAAAAGATTTACTTATTTATACATATAGAACTAGGGTACAGGCCAGTGGTACAGGGGTGGTGAAAGGGTTCACCAGAGACAGAGTAGGGAGCAGAACAGATGGATTGATGAAGTACACTGCTGAGGGTAGCAGCAGGCGGGTCAGGAGAGTTCTGCATGCCTTGTGGCTCATCTCTGGTGCCAGTTATCAAACTCGCACTGAAAGGGTTGCAGCTCACTTGCAGTACTGTGTCCTAAACAGCTGCACCACCAGGGAGGGCCAGAACTGATACTTTACTACTCTTAATTTGAAGAGATTTCAGATTCACTATATGATAGAGCTATTGATAATCTTAGATTAATTAAGATCCACGCTTAAAACAGAATAATCAAAACGACTGTGAATAATAGATTTGTCTTTTACATCATAAGCAATTAAGCTTGTCTTAGAGGCATATTTTATCTTGAGGCATAATTTCATGATAATACACAACAACCTGGAAAGCATGACTTTTTTTTTTTTTAAAGATTTATTTATTTATTCATACAGAACTGGGGTACAGGCCAGAGATGCGGAGGGTGAGAGGATTCACCAGAGACAGAGCGGGAAGCAGAACAGGCAGATCGACGAAGTACACTGCTGAGGGGAGCAGCGGGCGGGTCAGGAGAGGTCTGCCACGCCATGTGGTCACCTCCGGGGCAGGTGGGGATCGAACTCATGCGGAAGTGACTTTAGTTTCTCAGTGCAGTGCTTTAACCCGCTGCGCCACCAGGGAGGGCCGGAAAGCATGACTTTTGATAACTTGAATCTGAAATATAAGTGCAGGACATCCCTCAGCTTTCTAGCAGTAGTTAAAACCATGCACTATTTAACTATTTACAATTTTTCACTAAACTTTATGATAAATGTTTAGAAGTCATATTTAAGATTTCCTGCAGAGAAGGAATAAAACAATTGAAGAAACCTAATTGTTCCTACTGTGGTAAAGATGACTGAATTTTATGAAGAAAAAGTAACATGGAAAAAATATACTTAGCCAACTGGATTATCACATTAAGAATTGTTGCTTAAATTAGAAAAAAGTAATATTAGAATAAATTAAATAGTATGAAAAATTCATTTTATCTTCAGATAAAATAAGTTGGGTCACAACATGTATTAATATACAATTATTATATTTAAAAAACTGATTTATTGCTGCAAAATTCACATATGCTAGTCAGTCTTTTAATGTATGATTCTGTTTCTACTGACACATAAAATTGTATAAATACCACCAAATCAAGTTATTGATGATAGCTATCACCCCCAGAAGTCTGTCAAGACATCCCATAGTATATTCCGCCTCTGTTAAAAAATCTGGCAGCCTCTTCACAAAACTTGAGAGAGATGAAGGTAAGAAGGTCATGTTTGAAGACAGACTTGTTACACGATCTCTGGGGTGTTACTTGTCCTGTCTGCTTCAATTTTCTCCTCTTCATGTCATTCATAAATTTTATTTACATCATAGTAGGCAGAATAGGGTTTGTGCTATCTAAATGTGATGTTATCATGTACAAATTAAATTACATTTTGAACCTAAAAGGAAAGGTCTGCTGGGGAAGTATCTTCTACAGTAAAATAACTTTTTTATTAAAAAGTTAAATTATGAGAATGTATTGTTTAGTTGCTAATGAATCTCTTTTTCTGCTTCTGGCTGTAAAATTCATCCTTCTTCTTCGCACAGACAATCAGAATAGGATGTGAAGTAAGAGTTCAGGACAATAGTTACCCACTGACAGAAAGGCAGGGGATATAGTTGGGTATAGCAATTCAGCTGTATTGGTGACATTCTATTTCTCTTTATTTTATTTTATAAATTTGTTAGAACATTGTATATGTTACAGCCTCCAGGTGTGTGTTTCCATACCACTTCTGCCACCAAGGCACCAAGGACTTCCATCAAAGTCAGTTGTGTCCCTCCCCACTTTATTCTCTCCTCTCCCTCCCTCTCTGGTAGCCTCAGTTAAATAGTCAGATTTCTAGTGTTTATTATTGGTTTGGTTTTACCTGACCTTTGCTATCCCTCTACATCACACATATATGTGACATCATTTATCTGTCTCCTTCTGACTTACATCATTTAGCATTTCTGTGGTCATTGTAGCACGATCTACAGTAGCCAAGCAATGAAAATGACCGAAATGCCCATATTTATTCTTCTGTTGAATCTGCTCTATATGACTTCTTTGAATGTGCTTAACCACATTGCCTACCTACCTTTCAGACAATCAACCCTATTCAGAAACATTGTTCTCATATATATATTTGTTAATGCTTCCATTCTTCAAATCCCTTAGCCTCAAAGGCTTGAAGTGATTCTTGAGTTTCTTGAGTTTTCTTTTACATATAATATATCCATCGCTACATT